TGGGAGTTGTCTAACGAGTCCCCGGCTCCGGCGTGGCAAGCAAAGAAGGACCTGCCAAGACGCGGCCTCCAACAGAGTGTGACAGGAAAGCACGATGAGATCGTGTTTCGTTGGTAATTATTAAGTTTGGGGTTAAAGGTTCGTATATACACTAAGCATAATCACAATAATAAGTAAATGCTGGAAACCAATGCAAGCAAACAAATGAAACAACCCCATAAACACATAATGTTTTATCGCTGTTATTATGTCTATGTAATACTTATTCGTATGATTTCGTATGTCCATCTAGCAGATGTTTGTAGCATGGCTGCAAGTATACATCTGCAGCTTCTTGGTCAACATTTGTCGGCAAACAGCTGCTCCATAATGCGGTTTAGGGCCTGTTTAGGGACTGCGGCTTCCTCCTTACATGGTTGTGAACTCGCTTTGAGGCTCTTGTGAGTGCTTTGTAAAGGCACTACAGTTGTGTTACAGACAGGCTTGTTTAAAGGAGGCAGGGCTTTCTGTAGTTTTTGATGGGGGTTGAAGGTCGAGGTTACTACGGGCTCGAAGCTTCTGTATGGCTTGGGCTGTAGAGGTTTGTCAAGGCTCCTACGTCTGAAACAAGGGATGCCTTTGGGTAGAGTTGGTGGGGGTTGGGTCCGGGTTAACAGCTACGAGCAAGCAGCGGATGTGCAGTCAATGCTGCAAGGATAGTCATCAGAGTGGGACTATCAACAAGATCCCGAACTGCCAGCGCCTCGTCATGGCCATGGAGACATACACATTGTGCCCGGTTGTGTCCACCCACCATGCCACGCCGGAGACACCTTCGACCTCATTCTTTTAAGCGCCGAACCCTCCAAAGTCCCAAACACCGAAACCCCCAACTCGGCCTCACTTGGGTGAAATCCTCGTCTCAGAGGCCCATTTCCCTCAACCCTCAACCCCTGTCTTGTCTATATCTATATATCTGCCTTAAAATGTTTATATATATATATAGATAATCTGTGTAGGCAATCTAGAACTCCAAGCCCTGAATTTGGGAAGCCCCGCGCAACATCCAATCGAGATAGACTGAAGGGTTCCAAGGCTCCTTTAAAAAAATCTCTACGGGTGCCACTTTAGGTTTCGGGTTATGGGTTTAGATTAGAGTCGGATTCTTGCGTGGTGCTTATATTGCTATACCAAAGCCATACAGAGGCTAGAAAGCGACATCAGCACTAACAAGGCCTCTATAAACCACCCTGTTAGAGCCGGTTTAAATAACAACTTTATTCAGCAACGAAACTAAATTCGGAAAAGAAAGTCCCGTCGGATTCAAAAAGTAATGCCTCATGCAAAACGACGTTCTAAGCCGGAAGCTGTCGAGGGCGCGATCTCCAGTCTGGTGGTCGTCCGCGGTTTGATGCCGGTCTTTTCCTCTTGGGGTTTGGTTGGGAGCGGGGGTCAGGTCTGGATATAGGTTCTGGGGGGGGTTCGGAGCTCTTGGAGTTTAGGGCTTGGAGGGGGAGGGCTCAGGGTGTAGGGTTGTTTATGTTGTAGGGTTTGGCGGTCTAGGGAAAGGGCTCGGGGTTTTTTGTCGCTCACACTCGGACAATGCCAGGCAAGGTCTGAAGACGACGCTTCTGCAAGCTTTAAACCGTGTACCACTTGATGCCGTGAGCCCGAAAACGGCGGTACCAGAAAGCCAAGCTGATCTCAAAGCTTGCCGAGCGCTGAAGCAGACTCATTAAGCGGAGTTGAAGTGACACGGTGATCTTGGTCGCTATTCTGAAGCCGGCCCTGACCCCAGACCCCAAGCCGCCCCTAAGCCCTATTAAGCCCCAAAGCAGGGCTCTGTAGCTGCTGGGTCTCTGCATGCAATCTCACAAAATGCCTGCAAGCCCGTTCTAGCTCCAATAAACCGTGAACGAAGCACTAATAAGCATCCGGAAGGTTGTAGCATATGAGTCTATAATGCAGCAGACTATCCCCAGAAGTAGGGCTTATGTAGGGATCTCACGCAAGGGCGAAGAGGTGTGGGTGAAGACGGGGATGATTCTCCGAGCGGCGGTTTTGAAGTCACCTGCTTTGAGCCACTCGCCGTCCAGCTGGAAGGAGAGATCAGACTCGTTTCTCACTTCGAGAATCATCCTCGTCGACTGCATGTGATGGCTCTGTCATGCTCTGTGCGTGAATGGTGGTGGGTAATTCATGGTCAATCTCCATGTTACCTCAACTCACAAAGTGTAGGGAAAACTACAGGCTGCAGAGGCCAGAACCTCAATTACATGGCTTGAGTCATCCTGAATCCTACTTCTTCCTGACCACGATTCGTAAACCCCAAACCTGATAGAAGGCCCCAGAAAATACCCCTGGCATGCTTTGGGAAAGCACTGAAAATGTCAGTGATGTCAGTACAACATTGGTGGTACTTTAGGGTGTAGAGTGTTGATGGACAGAAACTGCATTACCCATAACCATAACCCAAACCAAGGTACACCTCGTCTTAGGAACCCCAGACGTAATACATCTATCGATCTATCGATCTATCTATCTATCTATCTATCTATCTATCTATCCATCTCTCTACCTATCTCGCTATTTTTCTATCTATCTCTCTATATCTCTATCTATTTATCTATCTACCTACTTATTTATGTCATGGGAACTTAACCCCCCCACTCCCCAAAGAATCATCCCCAGATTGGAGGACATGGTGTCCGACGGACGACTAAACACAAACAGACAGATAGGGGCCTTAACAAATAGAAGACGAAGGTTTCGGGGCGTGCTTACATCTTTATAGGGACGCTAAGAGGATACTACTACAAAGCCTTCCGACTCCCAAAGTTCTGAACCGTGAGCCCTAAACCCCTTTTTTGAGCAGGGACTGCAATGCACTAAGCCCTGAATCCCAACCCCTAAAACCCTAAACCCCGAAACCCTAAAACCCAAACCCCAAACCCCGAACCCTAAACCCCGAAGGCCCTAGGGCCCTAACCCCTAACCCCTAACGCCTAAACCCTTGGACCGTCCTTCCGGCGACGTGCGGAGCCCAGCCGGATAAAGCAAATGGCAGGCCACAAGGCTTTGAGGCTTTCGGGGAGTCGACCCGAAACCCTTTATACCGGGGCCTATTGATAATTAGAAAAGGGTTTGGGGGTAGAGTATACTATCAACTGAGAATGGGAACCCGAAGGAATAGCTTTGCTCATTATTCAAGCTCCCAATATGGGACGGAGGTCGCAATCTGAGGAGAGCAGCTAGGATCCATATTAAGGTCCTTTACAGTCTGGAATCTAAAAGTTAGTCTGAAGTCTAAAGTTCAAACTTGTGAAGTTTGACTCTGAATCTCCTGGTTTAATTACGGGTGTTCGATCCTGACAGTGGGCTCAGGAACGGGGACAGCTCGTGTAAGACCCCATGTGGCTTCGAGCTTTAAAGTAGCTGCGCAAGCTGATGCAGGCCCCGAGCCATTTAAGGGATCGTGCCAATCCCGAGCGCGGCTCCAAGTATACAAATAGTACCGACTTTGGAGTCTGACGTCTATAGTCTATAGATAAGATCTACTTTAGGCTATTGGGAGCCCCACGGAAAGGCTTTCAGCCTCGAAACCTCAAGCTTGAAAGACAAGGCCTAAATCCTAATCCTCTAAACCCAATCTCTAAAATCCCCCGACCCTACATCCGTAAAGCCTCAAGCCCCAGACCCCGAAACTTTACAGACTAAAGCTAAACCCAAACCTCCGGCACAAATGGATGTTTGAGCAGTGCAACAACCGAACAAGGAACAAAAGGCTGGGGGCCGTCTTCCAGCTGTAGTTGGGAGCTCTTCCAAAAACTCGGACTGGCCATAGGTAATGTGCAGGCCTGAATAATTGCCTTTTGTCCTAAACCGGCTTTTGGGTACATGATCGTCAATAGTATGTTCTTAATAAGGAACCCTACGAACCAGTCTTCGGTTATCTGTTTCGGCTTGGATAGTTTTGCTTTACAGCATGATGGCCATCCTCTGCCTAACAAAAACGGCTTGCAACCCTGAGAAGCCATGCTCAAAAACCTAAACCTCAAAACTCAAAACCTCCACTGCCGTACAACCCTGGGTTGGGGTTTGGGACCGAGAATTTAAGACTATCCCTGAATGCATTCCCGGATCCTTTCTGAGAGCGGCAGAAAGATCTGACGTGTATCATGGACTGCACGCTCCAAGGATCCGTGCACTTAGGCTAGGCGTACCTTAGCCTTGCAGGTGTCCCCACCCATACTCTCCCATGCAATTGCCGCTTTGGCGAATAAACTCTCGTGATAAGATAACTAGAAAAAACGAGGTAAGGTTGGAGACTGCGAGGTAGACAGGTGCGCGAATCCTTTGGGAACTCGCTAACCTGCTCGGACAGGAACGTCGTTCGCGAAAAGGCTGAATGTAATGTACAACATTAATTTGAAGCCTTACCCAATCGCTTGGATAGAGTTTGCGACGGTATTGCCGCTTTTTGCTATGATGGGACTAATTATAAGGCGATGCGTTTACTACTTATTGCGACCTCGATCTTTGCTGACTGTCATTGCTCGGCCATCTCGTTGTCACCGTGACCCCTATGTTTCGTTCTCCAAGTAATGGGTTTGTCCTTGCGCACCACAGAGGACAGCACAGTTCTGCCAACTCGCAGGGAACCCTAGTTCCCACACCCACTGCAAAGAAGTCCATCTCTGCACTGAATGCGAGGGGCTGGCTTTTCTCGCTGAAAATGTTCACATCTGAGGTCTTCGCCATGCTCATTGGCTGTATATAACCGGTCACAGTTTGGATTTACAGCAAGATGAAGGTCCTGGCATGAATCCTTGAGCATCTGCTGCTGCCAATGCGCTCTTGCGTCAGAAGAGCTGCAGATTTGGGAGCTCGATCTTCTGCCTGCTGTCGCCATGTGCCCACCAACTCGGAGGATGCCCATGGAAGCTCCCCGGCTCTGAACTAGGTGCATTCTGGCGATCTTGGGCTGCAGATGCTTGTTCCGGGCTTCACGTCTTCCATGTCTATGCGAACTCTGCCGCCACGCAGACGGTATGGTCCTCCAGGTTCAAGACAGCATGGCCCCACATGTCTGGGACGTAGACAATGTCGCCCTCCTCTTGCTCGAAGACGCAGGCACCCTGGAGGCAAAGAACAAAGGCATAGTGCTGAAGGCATGACGCTGTGCACGACAGAGGATTGCTTATGTGGCTGTTTGTGAAGCAGCGTTGCCATCCAGCCTCGAAGCAGTCTTTGACGGATTTGGCCGACGTTCCTTGGTTCTGCTACAAACTTTTCTCCGTGGCACGCTTGACATGCTGCTTAGTCATGTCAGAAAGGGAGTGCTGCCACCCGACAGCGGAGCAACAAAGGCTAGAGCCCCAAGACAAGGAAAGAAACTGAGATAGAAGCAAATGCAAGGGCGCAACTGAACACACACACACACACGCGCACACACACACACACACCTACACATGTGGATGTGTGTGCGTGTTGCATGGAACCGGCAGACACAACGACGAAAGCTGCTGACCACAATCGTTTCGAAGGACAAATCTACTATACAACTCCTTACAGTATTGGGTTTATGGTTGAGGGCTCTAGGGTACACATCATCCGATAATTTCGTCTACTACTCCCGTCCCTAAACCCTAAACCCTAAACCCTAAACCCTAAACCAAGATTCCCATGTCCATGGCATCCAATGGATGACACCTCGAGAAGGCAGCCTCGCTCGGAGGAACCAGCCACCATCGCTTCCGGCCGCGCAGGCACAAGTTCAGTGCGTCCTTGCGTGTTTGTTTGAGGTTTGGGGTTTCAGGGTTTAGGGGTTTAGAGGTTTAGGGTTTAGGGGTTTGGGGTTTGGGGTTGCAGGGTTTAGGGGTTTAGGGGTTTAGGGTTTCGGCACTCAGAATTCGCTTGGGTTTGGGGATTTTAAGGGCTCCTTGACCGAAAGGAGAGCTCTCTAAACTCTAAACTTTGAAGGCTTTCGGGCAGAAGTAGGACTGAAGTTGTGGGCTGTACACACATATACGTATATGTATATCATAGATAGATAGATAGATAGATAGATAGATAGATAGATAGGTAGGTAGATAGATAGATAAATAGACAGACAGATGTATATCATATATATATATATAATATCCAGATCCGGAAGCCCTGGACGCCCCGACACTCACGAAACCAAACTCACGAAACCCTGAGCCCTCAACTTTCAGGGAGAGGTTGCGCAATGACCGTAAATCCCAGAAGCCGCCACACAGCCTACACTGTACTACACATCTGCAGAAATCCTGAAGACCCTGCATGAAGCCAACAAAACCCTCTGAAGCCATGTCCAAAGCAAACAACATCTTGCGGTTTAGGGCAGACCTCTAAGCCGAAATCCGTAACCCTACAAGGCCGCAAAATGTAACTCCAAGAACCCCAACGCACACTCTCCCCCCTCTTAGCCATGAAAGCTGATGTGGAGGAAGGAAGCCGACTTAGGCCCGAATCTTGATGGTCGGGAAGTCTTACAGGGCTTTTGCTGCTCGGGCCTTGGTGCGGTTTCATTGTGTTTTTTGGGTGCTGACCATCATGGTAATGATAATCATGGCGTTCGTGAAGAAGCTTTGTTGCTGGTCCACGGTGCTGCTGCTGGTCGCGGTTTTCGTGGCAGTGGTAACGGTGATGGGAGGAAGTTAATGAACGGTGCTGAAACTAGCGAAGAATCATGATGGTGAAGCTGGAGACACTGATGTTGCTGACGCTTACGGGGATAGTATCGTAAACACGACCACCAAACTACTGCTGCTGCGGCTGCTGGCTTTTGCCTCTACAATGACGACCTTAACCGTTGATTCTGAACCCGGGCCCTTGAACGCCATGTTTCAAGGTCCCAGTGGCTTGGTGGAAGTGCATGGGTGAGCCGCTCCCCTCAGCTCCCACAGCGAATTGAAGTGTCGTGGCCCTGAAGGGCAGCTTCTGGCCCGTCTCGACCTGAGGTATTGGCGATTTAGGGATTTGGGTTTGGGGGTTTGGGGTTAGGGATTTAGGGCTAGTAGGCTTCAGGGTTTAGCTCACGGGTGTAATTAGGCTTAATTCCCTCTCGCATGGCAGAGAACAAAGCTCACAGGCGAGGTTAGGCTTAATTACGGTCTATAGGGTATGAGGTTGGGGTACTTGTAACGAGCATGTGCTTGCAGGAAAGTCGGACTCAGGGTCGTGGAACTCCTGAGGCCGCTGTTCGAGGTGATTGTATATATACGCATACCAGCATGCAAGTGGCACACCGAGTTCAAGCAATGCTTGATGCCTTGCGAACGCGGGTTTCAAAGTTTAGGATTGGGAGGCGGAGGGAAATTATTGGGGGGGGGGGGGGGGGGNNGGGGACGCTTCTATGTCCCGGAACCCTAAACCCTTCTATGTCGACACCTTGAGCCCGAAAGTCAGGTGGTCCGAAAATGCATCCGATGTTGAAAGGCAAAGTTAAAAAAAGGCCTCAACAACCAGAAAGTACCGGAAGGTTTAGGGCTTAGAGTTCCGAGGATTTCTCAAAGGTCCTTATGAGGCACAGACCCCGTGTTCGCGGTAAGCCCTGCAGAAGGTATCTTGCTGCATATCCAGGGGAAGACTGCAAGAAGAACCAGAGTGACAATAGGGCCAAGGACCCTTGAAATGGTAGGTTATGACTCCATCATGATGGAACGAAAACTATAGGTTAGGCCTGAGGATAGCAGGCCCTTGCATCTGACCCTTAGACTAAATCACCCTGAAACTGGTCATGTAGGGCCCTTAACAAGTAGAACAGTTATAATGAGGAACCCCTTTAGTATTGGTAATTATTTCGGCCCCTACAGTAGGTTATGACAGTTGTGACGCCATGCTTGTAGAGTAGACCGCAAGCCTTAGTAGACTCGTAGATCCTGGCATCCCCAGGCGAACTGAAGGCCACTTCAGGGAAGCGGCGGCACCAAGAGGCCAAGGAAGCTCTGTTCCGGCCTCGGGGGTTTCGGTAGGGTCCTGTTGATGCGGGAAGCTCAGATAGCATTTCCTTCCTGGTACATGCCTTGATGGTTGGTAAGGTTGAATTAGCACCACGTAGATGGGCCAGCATCCGGGGAGTTCAACTCAACACAGCCATCTAGCCAACCTGGGGCAAATTCAATGTAATTTCAACAAAGCACATTGCCCACACCCGAACAAACCCTGCACTGCCTGAGCCCCTGAACTTGTATCCTTGTACACCTGATTGAAAACCCTCCAAAACCCTAAACCCTGAGCCCCTAAACCCTATTATAAACCCTAAAGCCCAGATCCTAAACCCTAAACCCTAAACTCCTAAACCCAAAATCGCGCAGATGAGCAAAGCAGCTGATAGGTCCAGTGAGGCCTCGAAGGTCTCGGCAAGCTCCGGCTGAAGCTCCTGGACGCTTTCTGCTTTTATAGGGGCCCACACAAAAGTTAGATTTGAATAGGGTTCCTTCAAAGGGGTCCTTTAAAGGGGTATACTAGGGGCCCGCACAAAAGTTAGATTTGAATAGGGTTCCTTTAGAGGCGTTTAGGGTTTAGGGTTTAGGGGTTAAATTTGAATAGGGTTCCTTTAAAGGGGTCTTTTAAAGGGGTCTATACAGAGCCCTCAGAAATACTATTGCAGGGATTGCAGGGTTTAGGGTTATACGCGACTCGAGGGTCAAGGGATTTGGGGTTGCCTTGTGTTCAGTATCATTGGGTATAGACATGAGGTTTTTTTGCGGTGGCACCCAAAAATCGAGCCTGCCCCGAAAACGCCTTGAGCACAAAGGGAGACAGGAATCAAGCCTTTACGTAATTTCTTCTTCAGTGGTGTGAGGCTTGTATCGTGGTATGGAGCCATCTCTGGACATACTTTGCGATTTAGGCTTTGGTGTTTCAGCTCCCGAATTCAATATCAGGTACCATCAGCCAGACACTTGGCCATGGAACCCAGGCAACTAGCCGCTTTAGGGTCTTGAGGCTCTTTCGGGTCTTCAGATGAGGGCTTTTGAACATATCGAATGGGGGCTTGGGGTCTTAGGATCCCAAGTCTTCCTATCACATGCCTTGGAGCCTCCCAGGAAAGGGCCGAAGATTGAGAGCTTAATGTCGATTTTGTGGCTTCTGCGATGGGGCTTAAGCTCAGGCCTTCTGTGGCACAAGATTTGTAATGCCCGCCGTTGATGGGGCCATGGATGCTAGCAGGGTGAGCGGCGCCTATAGAGTTCACCCAGGCGAAGCAAAGCCTCTCACAGCAGTCTTCCTGTTAACCTCATATCAAGTCGGCGCACGTAGAAGGATTTTCCCTAAACTACCCTAACCCCTAAACCTCCCGTAACTCTACACCTTTAAAAGGGCTCGAAAGGTCGAATCCTGGTCCACCGCCACGAAGAAGTACGGAGGAGGGGCATTGAAAACCTTCCGAAAGGGTTTAGGGTTAAGGGTAAAGGGGGGCCAGAAAGTGAAAGACTGTGAGTTTTATTATCAAGGTTTAGGGTTTTGGGCCAGCAAGTGAAAGACTGTGTGCACTGCGGAGCTGCGGGTTTTGCCTGAGAAGCAAGGCTGTCGGCTGGAACCTGTGTGGAGTTCACTATACTGTGTCAGGGATTGAAAGATGAGGTCGAGGATGTAGACGCATCTGTTCGATTCCATTTGTGATGAAGCGAAACTACATCCATCGCGACGCACAACACAATGCATACAAGGTCGATCCCCTTCATCTCCGAAACAATATTGTTGGGTTGCAACTACGCAGGAATCAGCGCCTTCAAGAGATACCCAGCTTTGCAACATAATGTAGAGGTTAGTGTAAACCTTACACGCCAGAACCCCTAAGCAGAAACCCGGTAAAGCAATTCGTGCGTGCGTGCCCGGCAAAACCCAAGCTGCGAAGCTATGCAAGCACGTACCGCCTCTTCAGAGGCTTATTAGATGTCTCGGCTTCGGCGTATGCAGATCCAGGGTTTCCCCCACGACTTTCCCAGGAAAAACATAGAAAAGAGGAGCCTGCAGTCCCTCTCGGCGCTGGCGCTTCGTGGCAGGCGCGGGCGCGGGGGAAGAAGCCACGAGGAATTGCCGCAGTGTCATGGGAGTCTCCTGGGAAGTGGCTCTAGTCACTCTAGTCCTGGTGTTACACGTCGGAAATCAGCAGTGGCAGCAGCGATATCGCCCACTCAGCGGCAGTGACTCTGCAGCTGCAAGCGGGCTGGCTAGTATCAGTATGTCAGGACCCTTGAACGACAGTCCCACCCTCTACACTTATCCCAAAACCCTCAATGCCATATCCGAAGACCATACAGTAAGGAAATTATGGAAGTCTTCGAACCCCCTCCCTATATCGCGACAAAGGAGTCTTACTTAGCACAAGCTGACAAAACCAAACATCATGTACAAACCTTCAAGGCCTTAATAATAACATTCACAGTTCTTAAACCTACATAAGCAGCTTTAGAAACCACCTTGAAAAAGCTGCTGTAAACGAAAGCAGTAGGCTCTACATGCAAAAGAATAAAAGAACCACCTCCACCAACCCCACCCCTACAAAACCTAAACCCCCTCCCCCCTTCAACACACATATACGACTGCAAAACCCTAAACCCTGAACTGAAAACAGCATGCCCGGTCTCCAAAGAGGCGTCCAAGCCGAAGTCTGAGCCGTATGGAATAGCACTTACCTCGGCTTCCGAGATTTTGGGATTCCTTCAACAGAGCCCTTCCAGATCCCGTCAAGTTTTACAGGAACCCTTTACAGATCCCTTAAAGGAACCCTTCAAAGATCCCTTAAAGGAGCCCTTTATGATCCCATAAACGAACCCTTACAGATCCGCTAAGGAACCCTTACGGGTTCAGTTGAAGGCGCCTTTAAGAGCTGCAGAATTTGCAGCTTGGGGCTTAGGGTCAAGACTTCCAAAGCAGCCTCACAAAGGGGCCCCTTAATGATTTAGAATGAATTGGCAGAAAATAACGCAACCGATGATTCCAATGTCTATATGTTACCAGCGTGGCCACGACGAAGCGCCGCCAGGAAGCTCAAAACCAGCACACGACAACCCGGGCCCTGAGTTCGGCTAGTGTCCAAGTAACATCTCCCCTCGGAACCTTAAAATTAAAACCCAAGCAGCAGCAACTACAACTAAACCTGCAAGAAACCCATACCGTAGAAGAGCCGGAAACCTTTAAAACTCAGAAGAACCCTGACTAAAACCAACTAGGGACAAGAGATGAAGGTTAACAGCCAATTCCGCCAGCAAGCCCCGCAAAACACGAAAGTTCGTCGACTCGGGGTAATTATATCATGAGCCAATCAAGGACAATCCATTGCTCTAGCCGAGCGCGCAACATGTTTGGAGAGACTTTATTAAAAACTTCGTCCGAGGCCAAAACGTCAAGACACACACACACACACACTCACTCACACACACACACACACACCTTAACTCAAAGTCTCAAACCCTAAACTCACATCAAAAACACCAAATACTACACTATACCTTTAAACCCTTAGGCCAGGGAACCATCGCTCGGGCATCTCCTGCTCGGTCCATCAAGTCTTCACAACTCCAGACATGGTACCTGACGGCTTTCAGGGCCTTCTTTGGGGCCTTGGGTTTTGGGTTCTAAGGTTCAGGCTTTTAGGGTAGGGTCGAGGGCTTTCAACCTGTAGGGTTTAGGATTCTTTTGCAGTTTAGGGTTTTGGAGGGTTTTGTCAGGGTTTCGACTCACACACTCGCNNATGGCAAGAGAAGGTCCCGAGCTTGTCAGGGTTTAGGGTGCAGGGTTGAGATTCAGAAGCCAAGGAAGGGAACCCGATGTAGATAGCCCGGCTACTTCCATCGAGATGAGACCGCACACCAGCCCTAGAGAAACGGGCTGCCTACCCTCGGCGCCGCCGTCGATTGGGCTTTGCTTGCCTGGCTCCCATGGAAGGAACCAGAAAGGAGATCCAGCAACGATGGGTGTTCCTATAAAGCACTCTTTAGCAGTAGAGGGCCCCAAATAGTGGGTTCGATCGGGTCTCTTCCAATACACAAGTTTAGGGCACATCAAGGATCATAAGTTGTGCAGTACAGATCCTTGTCGTGATCGACAATACAGCGAGAATTACCCCTAAACCATACAACCGCCTTGTTTTGAGTCACAGCCTGGGTCCGGCGCATTTGAACATTACAACCGCCTAGATCATCAATCCCGTCACAAGGGTAGAAGACAGGGATTGTTTGTTGAAGCGCTGGGCCTGTGAACTTGAGGCTGTATGCATGTATGAGGTGTGTGCTCGAAGCAGAAAACTGAACCACAATCTCCAAGTGTCCCGGAAACCTAAACCCGAAACCCGCAAAACCTGAAACCGATGTCGAGTCCTAGAACCCCCTTCGGACTGTGAACCCCGAACCTTCGACTCCAATCTCTACCCCTAAAACGCCCTAAACTCATCATGACGCACACCAGCCTGCCCGCTCCCTCTTTAGGAGGACCTCAGCATGCGCAGCTGGATCAGACACAAGCTTGCGGCTTCTGCGCTTTGTCATGGAGGCTCAGGGTTTCAGGTCTACTTCCAGATTTTCAGTGCCACTGAGCAGTACAGGCCATCTGTAAACTATACAGGGCTCGGATGCCTGACGCACTGAATGCATACTGAATCCTATATGGGCCTTTGCAATTACGCAAGGGTTTTGGCCGGGTAGATCATGGCGTAATGGGCCAGGCTGCGGATCTGTCCAACATTCGTTATAGCCCTAAGAGCCCACGTACCCATATAGTATATGTTTCAACCTCGAAGTGTGTCTCTATGTCTAGGTGCTTTAGGGCTCAAGTTACATGAGCACATGGACCCTGAGGTAGGTGCATGCCGAATTTTCAAGCTCCGAAGTGCTGGGGTTTGAAATCGTGGCACAGTCGTTGCACATCCAGCTCAGTTTGATTGCTTTCGTTCTTCTCGTGAGCCCTGATTCCTACTAAAAGCATGTAGCCACCATTGATGCAGTTCCCAAAACCAGAAACGCTCAGCCTTGAGGAGTTGATCAAAACCCTGGAAACTCCAGGACCCCCTTTGGAGCCGAAATCGCCTACTGGGGCGTACAAAGCAAGACAACTCCTGTTGAGGGTAGTTTGGGCGCTGTGGCGGCCGTCTAGGCAGAGGGTTCCACCCCGCTGAGGCCGCAGGCAATATATTCTGACATATCATGACTGCTCAAAGCTGCAGTTGAAAGTGGTGAATTCAAGATGCCTCCTAGAAGGCACGCCCTTTACTCTTCCGGCAACAGCAGTTCAAGCTCGACCGGGTGCAGAAAGCCGCTTTTTTGTTCTACGTTGCTCCAGGTGCAGGGAAACCATGAGCGACTACTCTCTACTCATTTCTTTGTCGCCACAGCTTTTTCAGGCGTCAGGGATGTCGCCGCAGCACTCATGGACGTCGGACGTAAGTCTTTCCGGGAGTCGGGGCACATGGCCTTGCCGCCCGTGTAGCCGTCTACGTTCTTCTGAAGGTGCTCACGGCCACGCAAATGCACCTCTCCCAAGCGGGTGACCTAGCAATTTAGAGAAGCAAAGTAGTTGCTAGCTGAACATCAAGGTTCCATCCATGTCTCCAAAGATGCATTCACTGTATAGACGATGGCTTTGCTCTGAGAAAGCACCTAGCAGTGCAGTCTGATCTGTCGATCCGTCACTGCTCGATGTTGCATGGAACTGGCCCGCTGGAACACCGAAGCTGCCAACGAGATGGTGCATTACGGAAATGTAACTGTTGCTGCAGATTCTTTTGGGTGCAAGCTCCAAGCAAAAAGTTGTCACAGGGGAATCTCGAGAAAATGATAATTCGGAATAGATTGTCGCAAAGACCCGTAAAACAACAACTCCAAAACCCTCGATCCCAATCCTCTCCTGAAGCCACGAAGTCAAAACAGTCCCGGCAAACGCGACTCATATAAGGAACGCTCATAAAGACCCAAGGTTTCTTAATCAGGTTCCCATAATGTCATATGAACCCCTAAATCCCTAAACCCACGCCGGCCGAGATATGCCGAGATAGCCTGGGCCGACTGCTCCGTGAAATGTCTCGAAAGAGGGCCCAGCCGAATCCTCAGCGTCCAACCTTAAGGGCTTCGGGTTCAGGTTTAATATAGGGGCCTTCATGATTAGAACAGGGTTTTGAGGTATATGAAACTAAAACGGGAATAAGGTACAGCGACCAAAATAGTATAGATAAAAAAATGCCCCCATTACGGACTCACAACTCGGACTTGCCAGATGAGGTCTCTCGATGTGCAGTCGGTACTTAAGGGGTCTTGGGTGTAGGGCTTGGCTGGCTGTTTGTCGGGGTTTCGAGGTTTTGGGTTTAATCAAGGCTCACGGCCCCAAAGAAACTACGAAGGGAGGGTGAGTTTAAAGGGGCCAGCAAGAGTCGAAGCAGGAAGCTGCAGGAAGCCGACAGAGCCGAGACCTCACGAAGCCTGCAGCCCCTAAGCCCGACATCCTAAGCCCCAAGCCCTTACACTACACCCCCTTAAACCCGACACCCCTAAAGCGTAAGCCCGACATCCTATGCCTTAAGCCTTACACTAAACTCCGTAAACCCGCGACCTCTGCCCGGCCTAATTTATAAGTCCATTTCGCATCAGGACTTGTGCAATCGAAGCCCAGGCCCTACGCCCCTAAACCCCTAAACCGTAAGCCCACAGTTTTTTGTTCCTAAATCCATGCGAGACACGGCGGCGCATCACGGGACTGACTCCTTGATGGCTCATCCCCTTAAGTAGAGGACCATTTCCTCAGGGATGATGATATGGGTGGTTGCTAAAATTATGGTCCCTTTTTGGGTCCTTACTATAATACGGCACCTATTATGTAGGGTACCCCAAAAGGGACCATAATTTTGACAACTACCCATATATGGATAGGGCTTATAAGGCTTAAGGCTTTTAGGGTTTGGGGATGCAGCGGTTTAGATTGGAGGTTTAGGGGTTTAGGAATCAAACTCCATGAATGGACGCCCTTGTCCTCGGCCCAGAGAAGTGAGGTGTCTTGCACCTCGCAGCCACCTAGCTCCTCCTGACAGCGAGACCTGTTGCGGGCTCTGTTTGGAGGATTTAGGTTAAGCGTCTGCTGATCGAGGTGGATACTACGTCCCTGGTGCACGTTTGTTGGCATTACGGGCTGAACCGCGCGAGATAGATCCCTTTGCATGAGCTGGAGGGTCCATCTCGGGGAGCGATGTTAAAGACTGCCTCTATGCTTCCAGGCGATGAAAGACTGCTTCCGATTTGTATCCATATGCAGACAGCTGATGAATGCGGAAAATTTGAATCCAAAGTAGATTTACCAGGGGTGATCAATCACCGGTCTGCGGTAATCAGTGCAGCTGTGCTGGCTTGGTGGGGATGGTCCTGCGCATCCAGCTAAGCCAATATAGTGGCGTTAGTGAACAGAATAAGCTTTTGTGGCGTACTATACCAGAGAGAAATACTATCAGTAAGAAACCACAAAATAGTATTGCAAGTTATTTCGGGCCTAAAGAGAGTGACAGCCAGTAGTTCAGGTCCTCCGGGATCGATGCCAAGAGCTAGAACATTATACACATTGTAGCATGTAGCAGTACATTGTAGTATATTATAGTACAGCTGTGCAACGGTGGTATATTCTAGTACATTTATGGTATGTTACATACAATCTAACATAATCATTGTGGAACATTAGACATGATAGTACAAAGTACAAGCCGATACTATTCAGAGACCTTGTTACATGTCTTTCCTAGAGCGATAACACCCAAGATTCCATGTTCATCCTTCGGTGTGAATGATCTCTGGGCGGAGTGGACGAAGCTCCCTTAAATGGCTTGGAGTAGGTTGCAGCTAATCCAGAGCCGTATACCTAAAACATCAAAATCGCTGCAGTAAAAAATGCTGAGGCTGAGGACGCGGTTTGCAAGAACAAGTTTACTGCAGCAAGGCTAAGACAGCCCCCACAATGCTGAGTGGATCCACGAACTACCCTGTTCAGGTTATGCCCTACGGATATGGGGTCCCAACCTACTACAGTATTTTGAAGGGTCTAGGGATACAGATGACAAGCCCCACACCCCAAACCCTAAAGTGCCTGTTGCTGCCCAGGTCGACGTAGTGGTTCATGCGAAGATTGTCCTCCGACTTCCACCAAGCATTTCAGACTTTACGTACGTGCTCATGTCTTATAACCCTTCTTGAACCTCTAGAACCAAAAAACCCGAAACCCAACAGCCTTCTAGAACCCTTGCAAAATCCTCCTAAACCCATCCTTTTTGCCCTAAACCTAAACCCTAAACCCTAAACCCATCCTAAACCCATCCTAAACCCGAAACTGCCCGTCCTTGGAGATGGACACCACGGCCTGATCATCGGCCCGTGCTTGCGCCAGGTGCACTGCTGTCTGGAGCACATTGATCTGAGAGCGGAGATTTTGGGGGACCTTAGGGGGTATAACATCTATATATATATATGTGTGTGTGTATGTATGTATGTATGTATGTATGTATGTATGTATGTACGTATGTATGTATCTATGTATATATATATATATCTCATATATCACCTAATGATAACTCATGGTAGTATGATATACCCAGCTTGTATCAACAAATGTGCTCTTTCATGAGTTCTGCCGTAAGCTGAAGCTTCTGACTTAGGGTTCGGGGAAGCTCACACTGGGCCCTTGCCTGAACCCGAGACCAGCCTCAAGCCCCGGATTCGGTTTAGGGTTTAGGGTTTAGGGTTTTTTTGTCACCTCTTTTCCACCTGCCTGAGTTAGTTAGGTCGAATGCCACATGTGGCGGAGGTAGTTGCCTGCTGCATGGTTTAGAGTTTAGGGTTTATGGTTTAGAGATTAGGGCTTAGAGGTCCATCTCTTGGTTCAGGCTTTAGGGGTTTGGCGTGTAGGGGTTCAGGGACCCGGAGCCGGAATCAAAAAAACTTGAAGTGTAGGCTTCAAGTTTAAGCTCAACCTGGGACCTGAGAGGCTTCAGTAGGGTTATCCGTCAACCCCCGAAGTAGACACTACTTGTACACCTGGGCCCCAAACTCTAGACAGTCTACAAAAACCACATGTAAATAGAAGAGAGTCTTGGGCAGAAGGTCGAGTGTTTAAGGCAGTAGATCCTACTTGGAGGTTCATGGGTAGTTATAAGTGAGGTTATAAGTAAGGTAACTATAGTTATAACCCATATTAGGGGACTTATAACCCCACTTATAACTACCCATGAACCTGCAAGTACTCATCAAGAACCAAAACCCTGAACCCTAAAGCATCCCACAGCGCGGACGGGACGCAGGATCCACGATGAAGGCGAAAGGCTGGAAGTGGACGGCATCCTCCTGGGAACCAAATCAGAAGGGGGCCCTTGTTTTACTTAGGGTTTTGGCTCAGGGTTTGGGGCCTAGGGTTTCGGGTTCGAGGTTTAGGGCCTAGGGTTTAGGGTTCTTGGGTTTAGGGCAGCGTCCAAGGTTTGGGGCCAAGGGTTTCAGGAATTTTGGAAAACTCCTGTGCGGTCTGAGGGTTCAGAGGCGCTGATTTTCGTTTTCCAGTCCATGCAATGCGCTCGCCGCAATGTCGAAATACCATTCTTGGATCCTGCAAGCCTTGAAAGCCCTACAGCACGCAGTGACATCAATGCTGACAACTTCGATAGCAAACTCGCATCACATTGCCTCGACAGGCAGGCAGATACCCATGCAGCAGAATTTCCAGGATTCGTAAAGTACTGAAATCTTGAAGTCCAGCGCGGCTCATCCACGTGCCCACTGACAGTTTAGGCTTTAGGGTCAGGGTTCAGGGTACCCTAAGCCCTTTTGCATCCAGGCCTATTGCGACTGCCGGGTACCCTGAAGAAAAAGGCCAGGCAAAGCTGCAGCACCATTGACTGCAACACTCACCCAATCACACAAGAGATCCTAAAACGCCAAGTTCAGCGAGAAGGTGTTCGGGGATCCAAAGCCTGCAACTGCAAAGAGGGGTGACTGGGAGGGGGCTCATGTAGGCATTTCAAGAATCAGAACACGGTTTGGGCGGGGTACAGTACGGCATACTATAAGTAACATGGGACTATCAGGGAACACTGTTTCTAATGTTCCGAACCCTATCTTACACCAGAACTTTCTGTCGCAAACAGAACCTCTAAGCCCAGCACGAACTGTCCCTTCACCTCATACACCCCCCCTTTCCTCACTCCGCGAAAAAACAAAATCTTCTTGAACGATGTCACTCTGAAGTGCCTCCAGCAATAGGGCTTCATCAGTCCAAAACACCCTTTTTTGAACGAGGTCTTTCTGAAGTGCCTCTAGCAGTCCAAAACCCTAAACCATAAACTGGGTTCTTGTTAAAGGATTTAACTTAAGTTAAGTTACCATCATAGAAATCTATCGTAAGTAAGAGAGTTTGTGTGTCCAGGTTTAGGGTTTAGGGATTTAGGGTTTCGGGGTCTAGGGGCTGAGGGGCTTAGGGGTTTGGCAGATTGGGTCCTCCGCGCCCTTCATGCTGGCATCCTGGCGAAACTGTGGAGGTTCCGTTTCTTCTTTGTTTTTTTTTTTTTTT